TTGTAGCAAGAGAACTCATCTAAAAAGTCTAGGTTTAGCATCTTTCTTCTCCATAAGATATTTAATAGCAGCATGATCGGTGTGGATAGTTACTTTAAAATCAACAATATAAGGTCTGAACTTATCACAAGCACATACAACTGCTAAGAATTCTTTTTCAGTAGTAGCATAATTTCTTTGAGCATTGTCTAGAGTCTTACTAGCATAATGGATAACATTTAATTTCTTATCAACTCTTTGCCCTAGAACATCACCTACAATATAATCACTAGCATCACACATAATTTCAAAGGCTAAATTCCAATCAGGTGGCTGAACAATAGGTGCAGAGATCAATGCTTTCTTAAGTATTTCAAATGCTTCTACACAATCATCTTTAAAGACAAATGGTATATCTTTTTGTAATAAATTAGCCAGAGGGCGAGAAATTTTTGAGAAGTCCTTAATGAACCTCCTATAAAATCCGGCATGACCAAGAAAACTTCTTATACCTTTGATGTCCTTGGAACATGGCATCTTTTCAATAGCATCAACCTTGGCTTTATCAACTTCAATACCTCTTTCAGAAACTTTATGCCCCAAGACAATACCTTCATTAACCATAAAGTGGCACTTTTCCCAATTCAAGACAAGATTAGTTTCTTCACATCTCTGCAAAACTCGATCAAGATTGCTCAAGCAATCATCAAAAGAGGATCCATAGACGGAAAAGTCGTCCATGAAAACCTCACAAATCTTTTCACAAAAGTCAGAGAATATAGGCATTATGCATCTTTGAAAGGTAGCAGGTGCATTACATAAACCAAAAGGCATACGTCTATAAGCAAAATCACCAAAAGGGCATGTAAAATTAGTCTTTGATTGATCTTTAGCTGACACAGGTATTTGAGAAAAACCAGAATAACCATCTAGAAAGCAATAATGAGTATGTTTGCATAATCTTTCTAGCATTTGATCAATAAAACATAAGGGGTAATGATCTTTCTTGGTAGCCTTATTTAATTTGCGGAAATCAATTACCATCCTGTAACCTGTAATAATTCTTTGTGGAATTAATTCATCTTTATCATTGAACAACAGTAATACCTCCCTTCTTAGGGACACAATGAACAGGACTTACCCACTGACTATCAGCAACAGGATAAATTATACCTGCCTCCAGAAGCTTTAGTATTTCTTTTCTTACCACTTCTTTCATTTTAGGATTCAAACATTTTTGAGGATCACAAACTGGTTTGGCGTCCGCCTCCAAATTTATTTTATGTTGACATAGAGTGAGACTAATGCCCTTAAGATCATCAAGAGTATATCCAATAGCAGCGCGGTGCTTCTTCAGAGTTTTCAATAATCTTTCTTCTTCATGCTCTTCGTCGAGATCCCAATCTTCAGAGTTGCATTTAATTCTATCCAATAAATTCCATTTAAATCCAATAGTCTTCATCATAAAAGAGCCAGCACAAGAAGTATCGAGTATGGTGCGATTGTTTTTAGAAAGCGATCATAAAGATTTTGAATAATTGTTTCTCTTGGGAGCTCATGATTGGGACATGAATATAACATTGATTTAAGCCTCCCCCAAGCTTGAGCGATGCTTTATCCTTCGCAAGGCCAAAAATTATATATATAATTGCGATCACGATGAACAAGATGCATAGGGCAATACTTTTGATGAAATTCCAATTTCAATCTTCTATAGTTCCATGATCTCGTATCATCACATAGCCTATACCATGTCAATGCATCTCCCTTCAAAGATAAAGGGAAGACCTTCTTCTTAGCAACATCATCGGGTATACCTGCAACCTTAAATAATCCACAAACTTCATCCACATATATTAAGTGCTCATCAGGATGCTTTCTTCCATCTCCTGTAAAATGATTAGCTAGCCGTTTTTCTATCATACCCGAAGGAAATTCAAAAGGAATTTCATTTTCAATAGGTTCAGTAGGTTGAGGAGCAACTCTTTGCTCTACTGGTCGGGGTGAAGATACCCCGAAGAAGCCCCTCGGAGGATTACTTTCCATAGTAACAAGTGACGGTAAATTTCAGCACACTATATAATTTTTTTCTTAACAAATTCCACCTACTAAAGGCGCTTCACTCCCCGGTAACGGTGCTAGAAAAGAGTCTTGATGACCCACAAGTATAGGGGATCTATCATAGTCCTTTCGATAAGTAAGAGTGTCGAACCCAACGAGGAGCAGACGAAAATGATAAGCGGTTTTCAGCAAGGTATTCTCTGCAAGTACTGAAATAAGTGATAACAGATAGCTTTGTGATAAGATAATTTGTAACGTGCAACAAGTAACAAAAGTAAATAAAGTGCATCAAGATGGCCCAATCCTTTTTGTAACAAAGGACAAGCCTGGACAAACTCTTATATAAGGAAAAGCGCTCCCGAGGACACATGGGAATATGGTCAAGCTAGTTTTCATCACGTTCATATGATTCGCGTTCGGTACTTTGATAATTTGATATGTGGGTGGACCAGTGCTTGGGTGCTGTTCTTACTTGAACAAGCATCCCACTTATGATTAACCTCTATTGCAAGCATCCGCAACTACAACAAAAGTATTAAGGTAAACCTAACCATAGCATGAAACATGTGGATCCAAATCAGCCCCTTACGAAGCAACGCATAAACTAGGGTTTAAGCTTCTGTCACTCTAGCAACCCATCATCTACTTATTACTTTCCAATGCCTTCCTCTAGGCCCAAATAATGGTGAAGTGTTATGTAGTCGACGTTCACATGTTCACATAACACCACTAGAGGCTAGACAACATACATCTCATCAAAATATCGAACGAATACCAAATTCACATGACTACTAATAGCAAGACTTCTCCCATGTCCGTAGGAACAAACGTAACTACTCACAAAGCATATTCATGTTCATAATCAGAGGGGTAATAATATGCATAAAGGATCTGAACATATGATCTTCCATCAAATAAACCAACTAGCATCAACTACAAGGAGTAATCGACACTAATAGCAACATACTAGCACCAATCCCGAACTTGGAGACAAGAATTGGATACAAGAGATGAAGTAGGGTTTGGAGATGAGATGATGTTGGTGAAGATTTTGATGGAGATTGCCCTCTCCCGATGAGAGGAGCATTGGTGATGACGATGGCGATGATTTCCCCCTCCTGGAGGGAAGTGTCCCCGGCAGAACAGCTCTGCCGGAGCCCTAGATTGGTTCCGCCTCGTGGCGGCGGAGTCTCGTCCCGAAATGTTGCTTCTTGTTTTTTCCTCGACAAGAGACCTCATATAGCAGAAGATGGGCATCAGAGAGCCACCAGGGGGCCCACGAGGTAGGGGGCGCGCCCTAAGGGGGGCGCCCCCCACCCTCGTGGACAGGGTGTGGGCCCCCTGATCTTCATCTTTGACGAGGATTTTTTATTATTTTATTATAAGATATTCCGTGGAGTTTCAGGACTTTTAGAGTTGTGCAGAATAGGTCTCTAATATTTGCTCCTTTTCCAGCTGAGAATTCCAGCTGCCGGCATTCTCCCTCGTTATGTAAACCTTGTAAAATAAGAGAGAATAGGCATAAGTATTGTGACATAATGTGAAGTAATAGCCCATAATGCAATAAATATCGATATAAAAGCATGATGCAAAATGGACGTATCACAGCACCAGTTCTAGCCACCTCGCCGCCACCTCGGATGTGCCTCCCACTGTGCAGCCACAGCGCTCCAACGTGAGCCGACTGCACCCACACCACGCCACGCCACACAACTCCCCATGACGTTGTGTTGAGCGTGGGGCATGTTGGCGGAGATCCACATTGTGCTGTCAAGACTGCATGAGGGGGAGGAGCATCCCGTTGTGCTTCGCCTGCCAATGCACCGAGGTGGGGGGGAGGAGGGCCGGGCTGCCACCTCGTGGCAGCGCACACGAGCGAGATGGAAGTCGCTAAAGGAAGATTGACATCTCAAAAGCTTTCAATTGCCTGTTTCGGGAGTTCCTCCTATACGTCCTTGATGGAGTCCAGCAAAACAAGGCACGAGCAAGGTGCATTTGGATTTTCTTTTTCATTACCTACTTTTTCTCTCTTTATTTTCTATATCTCTCGTGACTTGTTGTGTGTGTTTGGACCTTGAACTTTATCCTTTGGATGTTGTTTGTTGTTGATACCGTGGCTTTATAATATAAAGCAGGGGAAACCTTTTTGTCACAGAACTCATTGATGCAAGAGAAAAGTATATTTTTCGTTTCTCAACTTTTGGCGGAGTCTAGATTTGCTCCCTCAACTTCGAAACCGGACAACTTGCACCTTCAACTACTAAAAGCGGACAAGGTTCGTCCATGGACATGGTTTTGACCGGTTTTGATGTCGAGTTCCCTGATTTTTACCATGTTTTGACTCAAATTCACGTACTTTCTTCGAATCCGTTTATTTTGTACCATTTTCAAGTCCACGTGCTTTTTTTCAAATTCGTGTACTTTATACAAAAGTTCATGAATTTGAAAAAAAATACACGGATTTGAAAGCAGTACACGAACTTGAAAAAGTACGTGTATTTGAGAAAAAACGCGGACTAGAAAAAGTATGCAAATTTGGAAAAGTTACGTGGATTTCAAAAAGGTATGTGAATTTGAAATTTTCACGCGAATATAAAAAATAGAGATTTGAAAAAAAATACATGAATTTCAAATGATTCACGGATTTGAAATATATACATGTATTTAAGTCAACACCGGTCAAAACCAGGGAGAGTTAGCACCAAAACCGTTCAAAGCCGAGACCAGGGATGAACTTTATCCGGTTTCAGTAGTTGGGGGTGCAAGTTGTTCGGTTTCGAAGTTGAGGGATCAAATCTAGACTCCATCGAAAGTTGAGGGATGAAAAGTATATTTTTCTCTTGATGCAATCAAACATTCATTTCTCTAAATTAACATGCCGTACACGTACGCGATAATTGAAGAATGTAATTTCGATCAATCTAATCGATGGGCACGTGTATGTATGTGTGCGTGCATGTTCATGCGAGTTGCCAGAAGTTCTTGTGGGTCTTTGTGTTGAGCAGGTAGCCGGCGTTCTTGCCCTTCTTCTGAACGCTCACGCACAAGCACTTGCTGTGCTCGATCAAGAACTCCGCCGTGCTGTCGTGTCTCGGCCGGCTCGTCCCGCTCGCGCTCCGCAACCTGCGCACGCAAGATTAGTTGTTTCGGTCGCGTCTGTGCGATGAGGAGATCGACGACATGGATTGGGGGGTTTGGTTCACCTGAGGAAGGCGGAGAAGCGGTGGTGACCGATGACGAGGAGCTCGACGCCGCGGCGTTGGGACTCGGCGAGGATGGTCTGGGCCTTGGCCTCGCGGCCCTCGGTTGCCGGCTCGACGCGCTCCGCGTGGACCCTAGCGCGCGGGTGCCGCGCCTTGCACGCGGCGCGCATCGTCTCCATGAACTCCCCGTCCGCGGAGCCCCCGCCACCGAGGAACACGGCCAGCTGGGAGCCGCTGCTGCTGCCGACGGAGCCGGTTCGCGGAGGGGCCGCGCCGCCGGGGGCGCCGCTCGGCGGCATGTTGACGTGGAGAAGCAGGATGTCGTCACCCTCGACGACGGCGTGGGAGAGTGCCCAGTCCATCGCCGCCGTGGACTCGCGGCCCGGGTCGGCGATGATCATCACGAGCCGCTTCTTGGACGTCGTCCCGGCGGGCCTGCCGATGCCGTTCCCGCTGCCACCAGCGCCGCCGCGCCCGAGCTCGATCGAGGCCATGCTGCCGGCCGACGTCGCCGCATGCATGCACGCAGCCTCGCCGGCCTGGCTGCGGGCTTAACGGGGGAAAATGGGGGCGATTAGGAGCGTTTGCCAAGTTTGGGAGGGTGGTGGAGAAGATGGAGGCGAGACATAGGTACGTGCACTCGTGCATGCCGTCGTGCGGCGTTGGAGTCGTTTCCTGAAGCGCCTTTGGCGGAAGACGCGGCTGCATGGATTTTTTGCATCATGGAGCTCTGTCAAGGAGAATTTTTGTATCACCTTGACACAGCTCCAGACCGACTGGGCAAAAGGACATTTTTCGATAAAGGACATAGGAGCTCAACATGCTCTGCTCGGTTACAGAAACGACAATCGTCATCTTAAAAAACGTGGCGATAAATCAATTGATGACCAGTGGGTAAGGAATCATGCGCAGCCCGCGACACAACAATCTCCATCTTATTTGGACAGTTAACAGGCCAAATGGTCTTCCGTTGCTTCCGTTGCTGCTTCTGTTGCTTCTCTTGCTGATGAAGGTCAGAGGACAAACCATGTCCTTTATCACTTTCCGAAAAGAAGAAAAACTCTCACATGCAAAATTGTAGCCGGACATTACCGAGAAGATGCCGTGTTTTTCATAGGGCCATGAGAGGAAATCCTCCCCTCCATCGTGGCTGATAGGATCAGAAGTATTTGTTCAGAAATGGTCTCCGCAAAGAAACTATAGTCTAGTTCCTCATTCCAAGTCAAGAAAGAAGCATCAAGCAGAAACTAAACCATGGCCTTAACAGAAACTGGTAGCAAAGGCATGAAAGTACCTGGAAGGAAACCTGGGATCCAACTGTCCTCAAGTATTCTGATCTTGACACCATTGCCAGCCCCATCGGGCTCCCCTGATAAGCTCACAACCAAAGAGTAGGCTCCTCCATGTGAAATAATATGGTCTTGGCTTTGCTACATCCAAAAAACGACCTTCAAGGAAGTATCGACCCTTGAGTACACTGGAGCACAAAAGACTCGGGTTCAGTAATGAGACGCCAGCACAAATGCACCAACATAGCCTGGTTAAACAGTGCCATGTCACGAAAGCCCATCCCACCGAAGGACATAGGTGTAGATAGCCACTCCCATGAGTGCTAGTCATTTTCTTGCGGCCACCCCCTATACCCCACCATTAACTGGCAACGCTAGTTTTCATTTTCTCATAAGTTGAGAGCGGAAGCAAGAAACAACTCATCAAAAACTTGGATGTCACTTGTGCCACCACTTACAGAAAAGTTTATTAACCATCCCTGAACATGGATTTACTAGAACAACCATTAATATGTTTGTGCACGCAATCTTGTAAAAATTAAAAAGAATTTGCCGTGGCATGGACAATTTTAGTGGTCCTTAGAACATAAGTGTCATTCAAGACATCATTATCCACGCAACACAATAGATGAACCAACAAGGACACAAGTGCTTCCTTAGTAACAATTTCCAAACAAATTTAGCAGTGTACGTGAACCGACGACTAGGAAAGGAGACCACCACCAAGTCAGACATATGTAGAAGGGATGGAGTCGATGGACTACGTCGCAATGACTTTTCGTTGCCCTGCATACATATGAGTAGCAAGAGGAAGGAATGAGGATGAGGGGGCTAGGTACCTTGGCGACAAGCGACTGCTTCTAGACAACGTGGTGGGTGGCGGCCACAAGAACCTGGACGTCGATCTTTGTAGTAAATACCACTTTAGGCCAACACAAGGCAAAAAAACCACCTCAACTAGAGAGCGGGCCATCGTCGTCGATTGTAATATGAGCCCTGACATAGGAGGTCGTTGGGAAAAGGGCCACTGCCACAACACGGAGCTGCCCATATGCCATAGTTTGGCTCTAAGCAGTCTCCTGTCGGCCGCCACGCACGAGGAATATGAGCCAGGGATGGAGGCAGTGGAGCTCGGGCCATCATCATTTCTTCTTCTATCGGCTTGTGCAACAAAGAGGGTTGGGGGAGGAGGTGCTCGGCACGAGTACGGCGAAGGAAGAGGGAAAGGGAATGGACGGTCTTGGAGGCTGCGCATGAGGGAGGAGGTGGTGCTGACGTGGAGGCATCGCTCCACCGGGGAAGTAGTAGATCCTCCGCACATACCTGCCTCCTATGGGAGAGGAAAGAGGAAAGGGCGTCCGGGGAGGACAGAGGCGACCAAAGATCAAGGGAAGAGGGAGGCAAGGGTGGAGAGGAGAGGATCGCACAGGAGAGGAAGAGGGTGATAGTACTGAAAGGATCAAGATAGACCTAGAGGGGGTGAATACGTACAACTAAATTTTTTAATTACTTATTAGCAATTTAGGCAAATGCGGAATATAAATGTGATCCTACAATTGCTAAGGTGAGTCAAATTTCTAGCAAGGATGATAACAACAATTTGTAGAAACACGACAATGTAATATGATATATCAATTGCAAGAACAATGAAACGAAGTAACCACAACTAAGGAGTTAGAGTTAGGGCTAGCCGAAACTCTAGAGACAAGGATGTATCATGATGTTCACTTCCTTGAAGGGAAGCTAGTCACTATCGGAGGGACGGATTTTACCACGAAGGCTCACCCTATTCTCGTTGAGGTATCACAATGAATGTGATTCGCAACCACTAGTGATAGACCTTGAGACGGCCTACAATCCTTCACAAACTTTTTGGCGGGTAATCACAGCAACAGATTCCTCTCCAAAGAACTCCTACTGCCAAGGAGTCCCCAACCTCCAAGAGTAACAAGATCAAGGAGAAATGCTCAAAACTAGCTCAAATCACAAGTTGCTTTTGTCAAAAGAGGGAGCAAGGGTGGATCTATCACTTGGAGAAATCTCTCTCAAGAACTCTCACAAATCTCTCCGGAATCTTGGATTTGGTGTAGGAGGAAGTGAAAGGGAGCACTTGGGAGTTCTAGGGTTTGTCTCAATGTAGTTGCCGACCCACTGCCAGAATTTTAGAGGGGGTATATAGCCCGGCAGTGTCGGCGAAAAGTGCCCAACAGTCTCGACGAAAACTGCTCAGACAGTCCAACCGCTTGAAACTTCAAACCAGCAGCCGAGACAACGAGTGAAGTGTACAAGGGCCGGACAGTCTGACCGGAAGCGTGTATAGTCTGGCCAAGATTTTGGGCTCTCGTGTATCACACCCCTCTAGCCCGGACAAATGCTCAGACATTGGTCGGACAATATGGCCATAACCGGACAGTTGCCTCGATAGTCTGGCAATTGTCCGGAAAACATTTATGAGCTTCAGTTGCCAAAACCATTCTACCTGGATAGTGCGGGCATAAAGTGCCCGAACAATCCGCCCAGGTGCAAATGAACATTTTGGCGGGATAGAAGTTTGGATTTTGAGTGGTTTTTTGGTATTCGATTTTTCTATGGTGGGTTAAGTAAGATCTGACCTGAGCAAGACCTTTTGTATTTCCATGGTGATACCCTTTTAATATTGCAGGATACCTAAACCTAAAAAAGAATAGAAAATACGTCCTTTCTTCAGCGTGGCATATGTCTTGAGTTGTCATTACTTTTAGATGGTCCATGATCCACACAAAACACATCCATGGGGACTAAGCCTGTAGATTTTTTCTCTTTTACGGGAAACCTGAAGATATTCTTAACAACCATATTAGTCCTCTATAACTATGTTGTCAGCAATATCAAAATAAGATTAAGGACATGATTGCAATTTCAGGCACGGAATTTTTGACCCATCTGAAGCAGCGCGGGGGAGACGAGGCCCGTGATTGGTGCAACACCCAGCCGTGGGCTCACCCAGCCAATAGACAACAACCCCACACACAAAGCATCCCATTAGTCATACATGGATAAAAAAGAACAAGGTGAAATAATCAATTAAGATCTAATGGTCGAGGGAAGCGAAGAAAAAGAATTTGCTCAGAACGGATGGTCAGGAAGCGCCCAATCTGAGCGTGTGTTGTGAGGCTGACTTGCCCACCATCTTTAAGGTTAAAATTGGGAAAAGTTGAGACAAGAGCATGATTCACTTGTGAGGGAAAATGGCAAATGCAAGATGCTGATGGAGAATTTGATGACCGAGAATGAGCTCAAGAGCAAGGAGTGCAGAAATCAATGCACATAAAATGCACATAAGTTCTTAGGGTAAGAACTTGTGTGCAAAGTATACTTAAACTTGTCGTAGATAGAAGAAAACTTAATTCTATCGTCGATATCAAAACAATGATGCCAATGTTCCTGACTGCTAGTCTGCTACTGCTAGAGTTACATGTTTAGGCTTTCATGTCCTGCTAGTAGATTTTTTTTGAAGATTTTGTTTTATTGATGTAGCATAGTAAGTGTAAGGGCATGTAAAATATAAGAGTCATTGGTGCTAACCACGGGAAGGCTTGAGCGAAATACCAAAGTTATTTGGCCTGAATTCTTGGTTGTTTTTACTGTGTACTCTTATACGTTGTCGACCTCGACAAAGTGAATGGAGTATGCTTTTTGGTGATGATATCCAGATGTTAAAATTTGTCAGATGCTACTAAGATGACTAGAACAATCATGGACATAAAAAATGCCCATTCAAATCATTGAGTTTTAAATCATCAACGTGGAGCCATGGGTTATATGAAGGAACGTCCGAAATTGTTCGAAGTATGTGTGATGCATGTTTTGATCCAGGAGAAATTTGATGTACATTATTCATTTTTTTCGAATGCTAAACTCATGCATGTGACCGCTTGAATTGTACCTTCTCTTGGTGTACTTAGTTAACAATTTGCTATGATCGTGTTGTATTAGTTAAAGACGTGCATTTTGCAGGTGCACTCTTGCCACATCCCCTTGATCCTTATCAGTCACCATTACTCTCTATTTCCATTGGAAGGTAGGTTTAAAATACTACTCCACATCTCACTGGTCATTATGTTTTCGAGTATCACGCTCATTGCACGTACACCATTACTGGTTACACAAATTATTGACCTCCAATTAGCAACACACAACTAACACCACATTTAAAACCGAGAGTGGCATGAACCACGCCATACAGCAACACC